AAATTGTCGAATGACCGTTTGTGTACATTCGCTATGGCTGCTTTTCACTCTCTCTCTTTCCCTCTTTCTCTCTCCATATTGCCATGTAGGCAGATACTGCGTAGCTGACCATCCTTAGTAAGGGTTGTCAGCTCTCTCTACCTGATTCTTTGCTTCTCTCCCTCTCTCTTCCTTTGTCCGAAAATTGAATGCCCTGTGCGGAACAACAAGAACACGACAGACGCATGACGCGGCTAGCGCAACACCCCGACCGCGTCAAACCGCTTTCGGAGGCGGCCCGCTTGTCCCAGAAACCCGTACACGATGCAGCCGGCCGCGTGCGCGCCCGTGTCAACCTTGGACCTCACTTGAGAATGCGCCGCGCTGCTCCGTGTTGCAATGTGTCGACCGTGGTGAGCATGAAAGCCGCGGCCCAACTCCTGTCACAGCGTAACGCACCTCGGCTCGGGACCTCGCCAACGAGAAAACGCGGCCGGCGTGGAATCAAGCGTTCACTCTCCCAGAATGACCACACGGCGCGAAGGCTCATGGTAAGACATCATCTCTGTCCAAAGTTTCTGAAAGGAGTACATGAATTAACAAAAAAAAATTACGGCAGAATTTCACTGGTGTCGTTTATTGTTCTCAACGCAAGTAATGACGACTCGACGTTGAGAAAACGCCCTGACTTTCACTAAGAAACTAGAAGAAATCTTCCAGCGTACCAAACATCTCAACGTCTCAAGGCGGCTCTATTCCACCTGATTAGGCACTCGCCTGACCATAATTGTCAGCGTATCGCGCTTCGACACTATAGGTCCAATATATAAAGAAAAAAAAAAGACACGTGAACAAAAGATTGCAAACCAATATTAGCATTAGCCCCGCCGCCGTGGTCTAGTGGCTAAGGTACTCGGCTGCTGACCCGCAGGGCGCGGGTTCGGAACCCGGCTGCGGCGGCTGCATTTCCGATGTAGGCGGAAATGTTGTAGGCCCGTGTGCTCAGATTTGGGTGCACGTTAGAGAACCCCAGGTGGTCTAAATTTCCGGAGCCCTCCACTACGGCGTCTCTCATAATCATATAGTGGTTTTGGGACGTTAAACCCCACATATCAATCAATATTAGCATTATTAGCGCAAGATAATTCAGGCAGCAGAAATTGGTAGACTTGGAATAAATGCGTGAGCGTCCCGCTCATTGCTTTGACGGAAAAAGAAGTGCATGATTTGTCCAGGCAAGCATGACCGCCGTAAATGATGAAGGGGGATTTCTTTTTTTTTTTTGGTTTCTTGCTATAGTGGTTTGTGATCTTTCATTCACATGTCTTTTTTTTTTAATGCGAAGCATTTCTTAGCGAACTTCGGTGACTTTGAGCGTATCTATTTATATATATGGCCGCCTACAAATTTTAGCTCTCCTAGCCGTTTCGATAATGGCATCAAAACCAAGCTTGTATGGCATAACATGACTACATGTATGAAGAACCTATTTGACTAGTCATAACATGAGAATCATGACATGTATGTCATGATTTACATTACATGGTCCTGCAGCTTTTGCGGTGGTTTCGTTCACATGACATGTTCCAATACTGGTATGATATGACATGATTGCATTGCGAACACAAGTGACAGACCCTAACATGAAAATCATGACATGCGTGTAATGTAACAACATGACTACAAGCCACGCTCATGATGCGCTCGTGGCCATTTCGCTAGCGTCACTTGTACCAAATTTTAAATGCGAAGCATTTCTTTGCGGACTTCGGCGACTTTGAGCTATCTATCTATCTAGCCGCTTACGTTTGGGTGCTCTCGTGGTCACCCCATTTAGTTGGCGTGAACCAAAATTAGCATGAAAGAGCAAGATGGTTTGACGAATACGACGCGCTTGTCAAGGAATGAATAATGTCACAATCCCGTCGCGTACGTCATCAAACACTTCCCGCCTGACAGTGGCACATACCCACGGGCGGGTATGTGCCGCTGGTGTGCGGGCAAGTGCCACGAAGATTGAAGCTTGGTATCTGATCAGGAACGACGAGAACACACATAGACAATTTTAACGTGCGAGTGTTAAGAAATACCCGACGTCGGTAGCGTCGACCCAACGGGTCCCAGCTGGAATCGAACCCAAGGTTTCTGAGTGCCAATGAAGCATTTTACCACAGAGCTACGCTAGGTCTCAGAACTACTTTTCAAACAGACGCAAATCTTCATGAAACGTTAATACTGGTTTCAGTGCTACCTACCCAATTTTATGAACATTACATATGTACTATTTTTATACAGCCGTCATGTCGGGTTAACGTCAATTGTGGTTAGTTGCTATGCGCTGAAGTCGATTTATGTAGCAGTGCCCAGGCAAAGCATCTTCGCGAGCATCAGCGCTTCATATCACCTTCGGGTGTTGCTAATACGCAAGTTCCAGTTGGCATCGTTGTGCATGTGCAAGCAACTGGGTATATAAACATCTGCAACTCTTCAACATATGTCTGTGTGTGCGACATCTGTACATTAATTAGGGTCATTTCATGACGTGTCCCTCAATAAAAAATATTGCAACACAGTCACCTTTCTTCCGTATGCTTCGCACAACGAGGATTCCCAGGTACGTGGGATCAGCCGAATTTTGTTTATTACGGTACATGAATGAACAAGGAATGTGACTGGTGCAAACATGATAATCACGACATGCATGTCATGTAACAACATGACTACATGCCACACTCATGATGCGCTCGTGGCCGTTTCGCTAGCTTCACATATGCCAAGTTTGGTATTACGTGACGCCAATGGATGACGAAGGTATGTGACTTGTGCAAACATGATAATCATGAGATGCGTGTTACGTGAAAACATGACTACATGCCACAGTCAAGGCGCCAATACATTTCGACATGACGTGGTGCGCGTGCTCGCCGGCGTTTATTTCGTTGCGTCACGCTGGCGTAATTGCCACGCCAGGCGCCGGTACTGCCATATACTTGCAGGCGCTCGCCGCGCAGCGTTGCTTTGACGCATGCGCGTTTCAGCGCATTCAGCGTCCCTCTGTCACGAAAAGATGGAAACGCAGTGTTGTCTGGGTAGCGCATTGGCATAGAATAATGTTACTCTAAACATCGGCGCGAAATGCAGCATGTCGCATTTTGCGCCGGTTGCCGTCGGGCTGCGCCGACGGACGGCGCTGGTAGCGTCTGGCGTCAAACTATTGAGTGCTCGCGTTTTGCTAACGTAGCGTCGCTGTGTCCAGCGCGCGCGCGCGTAAACGCTCCATTAGAGTATATTGGGCCCTTCGCGCATGATGTGCTCGCGTCGGTTTTGCTAGCTCCCCATAAACCAAACTTGGTGCTACGTGACGTCAATGAATGACGAAAGTATATGACTGGTGCAAAGACGATACTCCTGACATTCGTGTCATTTAAGAACATGACAACATACTAAGCTCATAGCGTGCTCGAGGCCATTTCGCAAGCTCCACATATACTAAATTTAGTGTTACGTGACGTGAATAGATGACGAATGTAAACGAGAAACCCAAACATGATAATCGTGATACTGAAGTCATGTATTTACCTCCAGCTCGAAACGTTGTGCTGATTTTAAGCGACATATCAACATTTCTCATTCATGCTTCGCATATCATCGATTCTCACTGTTATATTCTGCTTCATTTCGGAAATAAACTTCTGTTGTAAGTTCAGTGCTCGTCTGTGATCCTTGTGCTTTGTTGCGCTGTTGTGAGTGGGCGTTTATCACATTACGCTGCATTGCGAGAGTGTACGCACGTACGTGTATTCACATTAGGTCAAAGACTCCGGAAGAAAATAAGGAAACGTGCGAATGATTGTCACACGATCTGGTTATTCTTTCTCAAATGATTTCTTATTCAAAATAAGGTCACTTGTTTATAAAGATAGCTGTTCCCAGCCCCACCTCGAGACAGAGAGAAGCACGTTATTCATAGGTGTCTACTGAGAGTGTGAAAGTTGAGCTTATTTATGTGATACGTAAGACACAATACATTGTGATGAACATTTTAGGATTGTCTGGTTTTAAAGTACTAAAAATGTTCCTGAGTAATACAGGTGGCAGCAGATACCTTAATATTACATAAGCTTGGGCATGTTGGTATTCCAGTTCGGCACCTGTATTGAACAAAAAGGGGTCGGCATTGGTTGGTTGTCACTCCATCCTGGTCATGTGTTTTGCACTAGACGCTGAAATAGCTTAGTTACCTATATTCGATGTGTTAAATCACAAGTATCATCTAGCTGAAAAATTTGTGATTCTATATTACAAAGCACTTTTACCTGGAACGCCGCATTTTTCCACCCCCACATCCGAAACTTAACCGACCGCAGGCATTAACCCTACGCCTATTACAGACACACACGTACCCAAACCTTGCCACGCTTCACGTTTATTATCCCGATGCATACCCCAGCGACACATGCCCATCATGTGGACACACAGCGACACTCGCACACATGCTCTGGGAGTGTAGAACCACTCCTTCCGACTCTACCTCAAGCAAGTGGGAGATGTTCCTCAGGAGCTCACTTCTCGCCGACCAGCAATGGGCCGTCCAGCAGGCCCACGAAGCGGCCGCCAGGTACTCCCTGTCGGTCCCTACGTGGGAGACGCCCGCTACGCGCTAAACGCGTCCTGCAGGACTGAAATAAAGTTTTTTCATTCCATTCCATTCTATAGACACGGTCGTGATTTCTACTATGGGTACATTTTGTGGTTAATCAAGTGTATGTATTTGTGATGGAAAAATAAAAGCGATTCAAACGGCATTATTGAACGACTTTAAAGGATTTCGAGTGCATATTGTGAAACGTCCGCTTACTTTCGTTTTCCTTTTCTAGTATTTTAAAACCACACTACATCAAAACAACGGTTTGCGCTAATGCGTAAGGCCACATGCAAAACCAAAACATTAAATGCTTCGGCCGTTGCACCAAGGTAACCACCGATCACAGCGACTAACTTATCGTGATCTACGCAGGTGCCGCCATTCTACCAGGACGCCGGCCTTGCGGCTAACAGGTCTGTGCTCAGTGTATCAGTCTTCCATCTCCCCATCCCACGAAGAATAAGAAAGAAAAAGAAGTAAACAAATGCTAAAGAGAGAGGAAGGTTAAGCGGGAGTGCAATAACGGTAGAAAAGCAAAGATAAAGCGGCCAATAGGAGAAACACAGGCTGATAATCAAAGACGAGCAGTCGGCGCTACTGATAATTTTTAATGAATAGAAGTTAATTGAACTGCTTATAATAGTCATTATTACTCCCTTTAGTAGAGTTATTAATAAACATATTTCATAGTCCCGATTTATGCAAATGCATGCAAAACTATCTGAGCTGACTATACCCACTGTGTGACCACACTCTCCGTACTTGACTATGCCTTTAAACTGTAGCCATTCTTTATACGCCACGTAGGACACACAGTGCGTCTGATTATTTTTCTGTTTTTTGTTATTTTATTTGTTGTAGTTATCCTATTTTTGTGTGTTTCTTTAAAGCTAATATGCTACACACCTACATAAAACTAGCTCTAACTCTTTGCATGGAACTGTTGGCTGCAACGCGTTTTGATTGATTGATTGATTGATTGATTGATTGATTGATTGATTGATTGATTGATTGATTGATTGATTGATTGATTGATTGATTGATTGATTGATTGATTGATTGATTGATTGATTCGACTAACGTGGGGTCTAAGTTTAATTTCAATCAACTCTATATAACCTGCGCAATGCTGTAAACACCGTTAACGTAGGTCAGAAGGAAAGGGAGGCTCATGCCCTCTCCATCCCCCCCCCCCTTGCAATTTTTCAATTTTGCATGAGTTTACGCAAACGCACATACAAACATACGCATCAACATACGATAAAGTTCGAATGAACCCCCTTCACCCTCGAAAAAAAATGTTTTGCCAACGCCCCTGGTAAGCACGTTTCCGTTTTGCGTCTGCCTAGAAAAATATTTTACTACCCATTTTTTTACAGGCAAGCACTTACCTGAATCTAAAAATTATTATATCAGAAACACATATCCAGATAAACAGTTACAAACTATGATATGTGTAATGAGATCATTACACTGGGACGTATGCTTTAGCAGCTATAGCGCCCTGTGGTTTTCACCGACTGTGTTAAAGAAATAGATTGGTGGCTAATAGTCCTTCACAGTGCAGTTCTTTCAGATCAAGCACACACCATACGTACAGATAGCGAACAACACGGTGGTTAGGGCAAACCTTACTCCCTCTAAGTGGGGTCGGCCTGTGCCAACCTAAGAACTTTAGACTAAAATAAAGTCCATCAAACTATTCCTATATTCGTGAAGCAACCATGTTAAGACCCCTACGTCAAAACACAACGTTGTCCATTGCTTTCATTTCCATTGGTGATAAGGTGTGTAATATTATGAACGATGCAACTTGCATTTCAGCAAACATTTTTGTCATCCTAATGGAGGTAGCATGAAAAAAATATTTGTATGCCGGACATGCGAAGCCTTTAATGTACGTCAAATAATTCGGAGCTGCCAACCATGTCATGTATACCTGAGAGCATGTGCTTTGCGTAGGACGTAAAACACATTAATAACTGCAATAACCGATTCATTTCTGAACAATGTTCATCTTAATTTACTCCTTACCTCCCAACTGTTTCCGGTAGCAAACTGCGTACTTATTCTGCAGTAAACCTTTCCGACTTGGGCATATAATTTGTTCATATTCTTCGTAACATCCGTAGTTTATCCCACCGTAGTTGTCCAGCTCTCATGGTGCTCGAATTCTTACTCGCACGTTGCGATATCGAATCCTGACCGTGAAGGCCACATTTCGAATGGAGGCAAAAATGTTTAAGGCCCGTGTACTTAGGTGCACTATGCGCTTGTACTTAGACTTGAGATGTAGACAGACATGTTTGAGGCCTGTATACTTAGACTTATGTGCACGTCTACTTAGACTTAGGAGACCTTCACTACAGAATCTCTCATAATATTACAGAATTTCAATGGCGTTAAACCCCGACAATTATTACATTAACATCCACGGTTCCCTTGACGAGATGGCCTATTTGAGATGATTTATGAAATGACATATTCTTCCGCTCTGTGCAAAGAGAATTCAAACTCTCTTCTTATCAAAGGACAGCAGTGGGCACAATACATGTCAGTAAATTCCTCACCTTGCCCAGATTACGGAAGCAATACGGCCAAAATTCACGGCAAATATCTTTCACTGGTCATGTCCACAAGCTTGCTGCAGGGACGTTTTGACAGTCCCGCTGACGAGGTGAACGATCGATTACCTATTTTGACGACGATGAGAAAGGGAATGAGTGAGCGGCGATTATTTCAATTATGTTCTCTCACGTCAGGGACAAGCTGTGAGAAAATGCAAAGTTCACTCCTATCTGGGAGCCAAAGTTGCGGATGCGAACACGACCACACCAGCTATCATCATCGGCATCGTCATCAGCCTACCTGACCCACTCCAGTACAATATCCTCTTCCACGTTCCGCCTATAGACCCGGTCCAGTGCTTTCTGCTGCGACGTTGTGCCTGCCAACTTTTGTCATCCCGTTAAGTTAACGTATAATAAAACAGTAGCCTAGGGTACATGAGGATATAACAAATGAAATTCCTCTTTATATAGCCCATACATACACACAAGAGAACGTATAAACTTTACTCGTTCAAAACAGCGAAGATGGGCGATTTGAATGATTTTTTTAATGCGTATCTTAGCTACTTTGCTGAATACAACAACCAAATTTTCAGCCAGGCTATGTTTTTCAGCACTTGCATTGTTTAACAAAAGTCAATTTTTTTCGAAAATTTCAATTTAATTTGCACGGGCATGAAACATATAATATTTCTCATAGGTTGAACCAACGTTATGTGAGAGCGTGTTACATCTATTTAAAAGCAGCAACTTAGATTCCATGCCGTTTCCTAAAATACGCATAACTATAAAGAGAGATACGTAATTTACAGCAAACGCATTATTTCACCCACGCTTTTCGAACTTGGCGTAAGCAGATAACCCATAACCAGCCTCTTACTCTCAACCGAACATTCATCAGGTATACAGTTTAGTTCAGCAGTTCGTTCTTCGCATTTGCATTACTACTATATGTTATTTCGACGAATGATAGCGTTCTTTTAGTACACCTTGAAAACGCACGAATTACGTTTTCGACAGCGTCTTGTATAGGTAAGTTTATCAAGTCTCACTTGAAGAAACTTACGTGAATTCAGCAGAGCATACTCGTCAATGATTTTTCATGGTGGCTTGAGTGGTTATGACATTCCCGTGTCGAGATTATTTGATACCCGGCTGTAACGGCAGCGTCACAGTGGTATTTAATGAAATGCCACTTACGTGATGAGTTCTCGTCATGCGTTTTGCAACCAAAAGGGTCCAATTATTCTGCAGCTGTTTCTTCTTGTCCAGACAAATCGTTCACGCATGAGAATAAATCACTCAGACGTTTTCGTTCCTACGCTGGGCATCGCACATTTTTTTAGCTATTTTTACTGAATTTTTTTATTTAAAACTAGATCGGAAGAAATAGGAATACCTTTAAAAAGAGAATATCTCAGATATTAAGTAGTTTCAGATGAAATTGTTATTTTCAGCAATGACGGCAATGAATTGAAAAAAAATGTTTTGATGACTTTATAGCGTCAAAGTAGGGCTGAAGATAAATACGTAGAACACAAAAACAATGCTAGATAGTCCGGTGACAAAGTTAGAGCTCGAGATTGACAACCGGACTTTTGGATAGGTATACAAATATTTCTGTCTAAACCAAATACTAAACATGGGAGAATAATATAAAGAATCTTATTCAAAGGAAATTAACCTATCAATCAGAATGAGATTTTGCGCTTACGGTAGACATCCCTAGCTAATGACAGGCAGCTTGCCAATGTCACTAAGGTTGAGAGTGTGCAGCCTATTTACTTTTCATGGTTGACATATGGTGCAGAAATGAAGAGAATAATAACCGAGAAACTCGAGAATATGCTGAGGACCACCCACCGCGTCAATGAACGAAGAATGATAGGCGTGCCAGATACATAAGTAGACAGCAGAGTAGATCAAAAAACAAGCAGAGGTAGCAGATACTTAGTAGATCATAAGAACAATAAAGGTTCTTAGAAGGTCAGGTGATGACTCATATGACACGGACAGATAAGTGATGGTCATTTAGAGAGTAAATAGATACCAAGAGATTGAAAGCGCGGCTTTAGGGGTATCGACCAAGTTAAGAAATCTGCCGCAGTAAAAATAAGAAACCAGATCATGCAAAACAGGTGGGATTGGGCAACTTTCTGAGAGGCCTTCATTCTACAGGGCACATAAGATAGGCTGATGATGATGCAATGGTGCATTGACTCATGCATTGGAGGCCACGCATCATCTACAGCTTTAACTGAAGAAATTAAAAGCCGTAGGACTGGAAGCAGGTGCTTCGAGGCGCAATCAAGACAGCTTTTATTTATTATTTTACTTCTTCTATTGTTATTGGTATTTTTTTTTTTTGCTCCTCCTCTTCTCAGTCAAAGGGCGCGAGCTGTCTTTTCGTAGGCTCTGCAGACGCACAGCAACACTAGCGCATGGTATATCGAGGCGTTCGAATCCCGCCCGGAATGAGTTGAGAACAATGCACTGGCGGTTGCATCGGCAACAGGTCACCTGAGACTTTCCTTCTTCCTGTTCGTGATGGTCAACCAGACACGACGAACAAAAGAACGAGTGACGGCCTGCGGGATCCAGTTCCTCACAGCTTCAAAATTCATCGCCTTTGTCCACCTTCCTTTTTCTTTTTCTTTTTTACCCTGTTTCCTTTATCTCTTTGTTTGGCGTTGCTTTTCGCACCATCTCCAAGGGCAGCGGGGGCTGTCTGGCACGTTGAGGCTTGAACGTGGTCCAAGCGGCGACGGCGAGGAGAAAACTGCCCGTGGTGGCGGCGCGATCGCGTGCTCTAGCACCGCCTCGCATGCTTCGTGAGTCGGCGAGAGCGCAGCCAGTTGCTCCCCATCCGCACCGCGCGCTGCTCGCTGGGTCGTGAAGCGCAGAAGTAACAAAAAACGGAGCGCGAAGCGAACGACCTGCGGCTGTTCGGTGGGACGGCTCGAGTACGCCTGCACCGGGAACGACATCAGCGGGTGCACATGTACCCAGACGGCCCCGAGAACGAGGAGGACTTGTGGAGAGGAGTAAAGAGAGAAGAGTGGGTTTACAGTTCGGTCTCCTCTTCCAGCCGAGTTCCTCACTTTTTATTCGCGTCCGGTGTCCGGAACGTGCACTTCGACGGAGCTGAGTGTTGCAGCTGTTGATACCTGACGCGACGCTGACGCTGTAACAAGAACAACGCGGCAGACAACGTATGCCCCTTACGTTATCGAGCGCTACATGTAGCGGCCGATGCGACGGCAACTTGATGCTGGAACGTGATAAAAAAAAAATGTTCCAGACAGCTTTCGCAAGACGGGAGTGATGTGCGATCCGAACAACTGCGTTAGAAAGGATCAAATGACAGCACGCGCTGACTGTATGATTGACGTGCGCGCCCGTGCGCGTCACGTACTCGACATTTGTCGGCGCTACCCGACAGTACACCTTCACCCGGTGTTTGTAATGTGAAGTTCACTCGAAGGTTCTTCGCTGCTACTGTAAACGACCGTCGCATCTCGAAGAAAGGCACGGATTGCTGCAAACCGCTGATCCAGCCGGGTGGAAATTGTCGGCGACCATGTACAATAGACTTTGCAAGCCCTAATTATTCTCTCTCTCTCTGTGTGTTTTGTTTTCCTCTTCTATTCTTCACCTTCCAGTACCAAGTAGTACTTGCATGTGTATAATGCGATAGCATCGGCATTGTTGTCACGGAGAAAGGAGCCCTGCATTCGGTGAGGGTTCCAGAGCGCTGCTCCCCTTACCCGCTGAGGCCGGCCACTATGACGTCGCCGTGGGCGCGCGCGGTCAAGAAGTGATTCCAGCAAAGTCGTCCGACATTGACTTCCCGCAGGGAAAACGTTCCTCCACGCCGTGTGCAGCCGTCCGCCGTCAGTGATGCTGGGAACGCGGGAAGACAACGCCGTCCCGCTCCTTCATTCAGACAACGGCCTCAACGGTTACGCGAGGAGGTCTACACCGTCGGTGATGCCTGCACGTGGACATAGGCCCAGGTCGACGGACGCCGGTGATCCCTTCGTCGGTGAGTGCGACTTCCTCTGTCTTTACTTCGTGAACGGCACTGAATGTGCCGTAAAGGTTGTGAAAACTGAGTTGGCATGAATTCGTTACGGGACGATTTTCAGCGCTCACAGAACAGACAAAGAAGAAAGGAGGTAGCCAAACAAGCGCTGGTTGTCTACGTTTTTCTTTGCGCTGAAATCACCTAAAATAAGTGTGACGAGAAGTAAAAAAAATAGTTCGATCATTTAAAGTACCATTTACTCTATTATTGGAGAGCATTTAAGCTGTCCCGTTAGCCAGTGGGGCGAACACAGCTCAAATGGGCAAATGCGATCAGACGATTTCTCAACGCATCATGCGCCCGAAGCTCACGCACTGCATGGTGAACTCATATCAGGCCATTTATTTCGAGGCTCTTGTTCATATATTACCGGCTCATCTGAAGCAAGCGACCGTTGACAATTGAAACAGGCCTGTTTTAATGAAAAAAAGCAACGCTTCAATTCTAGGACACAATATAACTATTTTACCTAAATGCTAAATGTCAGCCGTAAATGTTATATACATTTATCTGGGTCACATGTGCTGTGTTGGGTTTCGAGTGCCGACGTCACTGTACATTTCATCGGTGTTTAGACCACTGCGGTTGTTGTGAAATACGAAAGCGACCGCGGAGCCGAAACACAGTGACCAGTTCCGCTTGTAATAAGTGGATTTGGTCAAGGAAAACGAACATAAATATGCACATCTTGTGTCACATATTGCCGCATGTAGGTGTGAACCACGATTCACTGATACGAAGGTTCTTGAAAGAAGCTTAAATTTATCTGCACGTCTGCTGTTGGGAGCATATTTTATTGAAAAAAAGATAAGGATATCTGTGTCAGCGAGCCGTCTCTGGTGTTGCGTCACCAGGAAATATCTTTTATCGAGGCAAGAATATAGTGATTCTAACTGGTTTATCTGCTTTTTGCGTACACCTTTTTTTAACCTGTTCCTTATTGTGTGCCGGCGCTATATATCTCACGTGCTGGTGGCTTACCACATGCGCAGCTCTGTTAATTATTGCCCCTTGCGCATTCATCTGTACGTATATAAGAAGGTCATATAGAAGCAATAAACAGTTGGTAGTGAGTGCTGCGTGTCGTGTGTGTTACTAGGGTGGATGTGTGAGTGCTTGTGTGAGTGCTTGCAAGAGTCAAAGTTGCACTAAATTCTTACACTATGACGAATAACTAACTAGCCCAGCAACAAGTTTTACTGGGGGATTTGGGCTTATTTTTTCGCCGAGCTACTTGTAGAAATTTGAAGTCGCTTGGGGTCTTTTGGTGGCTCTTTTGGATTTTTCGAGCGAATATAGTTATTTCAGGGGTCATCACGTTCACCAACCAGGTGTATGTCATTCAAGTGCCTTTGTCGATCGATAACTTTGAGTAGTTACGTGTTAAACATACGTGGGGGAATTCAACTAACGACAATCATGCACTATTTGGGCGCACGTTAAAGAACCCCAGGTGGTCTAAATTTCCGGAGCCCTCCACTACGGCGTCTCTCATAATCATATAGTGGTTTTGGGACGTTAAACCCCACTTATCAATCAAATCAATCAATCATGCACTGAAAAACGTTCAATCAAAGAATGGAGATTACACCCTGGATTGCACTTACTTTCGTTGTACAAAACAAAGTGATTTTGTCAAGTCATCTTCGTATTGGTGTGACATTTTCGTTATATTTAAATACATTCACCAGTGGATAATTATTAAATTGCTGCTTATTTACGGCTTCCTTGCTTAAGTTGCATCGCAGTTTTGGAGTGCCTTTTGTGAAAATTATTTGCTTTTAGCTCTCCATAGTCACAAAAGTCTTGTCTCCTTATTATAAGGGTTCCCTTTATTATAGACGTGTTTTCAAACCGTCATCTTTCTTGTCAGTGTGATTGTGCTAAAGGCCTCAAATTCCGAAATGTAGACCTCATTTTTTTCTATTGTATCACAGAGTATGTGAATCGACAGAAAAGCTTAAATTTCTTAATGCAGCTCGTGTACGCACCACGCGCGCACTTTTTCTCACATAGCCGACTTCTTTGTTTCAGTATTGTCTGTATGCCACGTATGTATACGGCTTGCGGCACAAATTGCTTATGGAATGCATCATTAACATGGTTAATAGCGATGCGTGCTCGAAGTAAAGACCATAACAAATGATTAACTGTAAATAATTCGTTCATTATCGACACGTTCACAGGCTTAACGACATTTGCATATTGAATATAATTGGCATTGATGATTTTTTTTTTACTTTTTGGGCAACATAAGTGTTTGGAACAGAACTCGTAGGAAGCGTTCATATCTAATCAGGGTGCAGGTGTCGCAGAGCTGTGGGATTCGCCGTGAGGTTCCAATTGCTATTGCCTTGCGGCTACGTAAACAACTCTTTGGCAAACATCCCACACATTTTGTTTGTTGTCGAGCCAGCCTGTCTTCTCTCTCTTTCTCTCTCTCTCTCTCTATCTCTGTGTGTGTGTGTGTGTGTGTGTGTGTGTGTGTGTGTGTGTGTGTGTGTGGTGTGTGTGTGTGTGTGTGTGTGTGTGTGTGTGTGTGTGTGTGTGTGTGTGTGGTGTGTGTGTGTGTGTGTGTGTGTGTGTGTGTGTGTGTGTGTGTGTGTGTGTGTGTGTGTGTGTGTGTGTGTGTGTGTGTGTGTGTGTGTGTGTGTTAGAATTTAATGACGCTTTTTGGAAAAGAAAACAGAAAGGCAGAAGCGGAGCGACACTGAATCATCAATCGGCACCTGTTTTTCTCATGCGCCAGTCTTAACATACACAACACACGTAAAATGTGATAGTGCAACGAAAAATGCAGTGCCCGGCATTTTCTTTATTTTAAATGCGAAGCATTTCTTAGCGAACCTCGGCGACTTTGAGCGTATCTATCTATCTATCTATCTATCTATCTATCTATCTATCTATCTATCTATCTATCTATCTATCTATCTATCTATCTATCTATCTATCTATCTAGCCGCTTACGTTTGGATGCTCTCGTGGTCACCCTCTTAACTTGGCGTGAACCAAAATTAGCATGGGAGGGTAAGATGGTTTGACGAATAAGACGCGCTGCTCAAGACCTCAATAAAGTCACAATTCTGTCACGTACGTCGTCAAATATGTCCCGCCAGACAGTGGCACATACCCACGGGCTGGTATGTGCAGCTGGTATGCGGGTATGTGCCACAGGTGATTGACACTTATGATCTACCCAGGAACGACGAGAACACACACGGGCAATTTTAACGTGCGAGCGTTAAGAAATGCCCTAATAAATGCCCGAAGTCGGTAGCGTCGACCCCACGAATGCAAAGAATAAATGTCAGGCTCCCAGCTGGAATCAAACCCAAGCATTCTGCGTGGAAATGACGCATTTTACCACAGAGCTACGTCAGTTCTCGGAACTACTTTTCAAATAGACGTTATTCTTCGTGAAACGTCAATAGTGGTCGCAGTGCTGCCTACCCAATTTTATAAACATTACGCATGTGCTCCTTTCGTATATCCGTTACGTCGGGTTAACGTCAATTGTTGTTAGTTGCCATGCACTCAAGTTGATTTATGTGGCAGTGTTCAGTGCCAGCATCCTCACGAGCATCAGCTCTTCATATCAGCTTCTGGTGTTGCTAATACGTATGTTCCAGTTGGCATCGTTGCGCAAGTGCAAATAACTGGTTATATAAACATCTGCAAATCTTCAACATATGTCTGTGAGTGCAACGTTTGCACATACATTCAGCGTCATTTCATGACGTGTCACGCAATACAATTGCAACACGGTCACCTTACCTCCGCGTGCTTCGCATAACGTCGATTCCCATGGAAGTGTGGCAGCTTGGGCTAGTTGGTATGACATGACGATAGTTATAGCGCGAGAACAGAACGACGACACAGAGACAAGAAGTTGGAAGTTAGCTCTCGTGTCCTTCGTGTCCTTCTTGTCTCTGTGTCGTCGTTCTGTTCTCGCACTATAACTATCGTCATGTCAATTCCCGGGTGCGCGGGATCTGCCGATTTTTTTTATTTTCTTTTTATGGCATATATACATGCAGCACATTGAACGAGAAATACATGTAATTACGTGAACGTACACAGCCTATTCGAATCTACTTTGCCGTGGTTCCATTCACGGTGACAATATTGATAAGGAATCACATCAAACTGCCGAAAATGCGCGATTATCCCTCGTGCGTTTGCCTGCACTAGTGGTGATGTCTATTTTGCTAAGGCATCAGCAATTTAGCAGTGAAAGCTTGTGTATAAGCCTCTACCCACGCGTTTACCAACAGGTATGCTTATAGGTCAGAGTTGTACGGATCCTTCTTTATAGGAATCAGGGTCGCACTGATGCGACATTCTTTGACTGCAAATGAAACGTTAGCTGCTGTAATTGTCAAGCTCTCGAAAAGGAATGAATGTGTGCTTGGTCGACCTCGCGTAAATTATTGGCGTTAAGGTCATTTCAGTAAATCCTTTACACTATAGCCCGCTATCGGAAATAACTATACGACGAGCCGACATGACCATGATCACTAATGTGTTTCCGCCGTCGAAACACATGTGCACTGCCATCAGGGACACTGAACTAACGACAGTCCGAAAGTTGGTGTTAGCGGAGGGGACAAACATTGGGTGTACTCGAATTCAACGCGTCGGAGCTGTTTTGTTACAGAATATATAAGATTGCCCTTGTACAAAACCTTTTCGTTATTTATTTCAGGCGTTTGATATGTGCGAGATAGGGGTATTTTATAAAATTTATTGAAATGTAATTAAACACGATGCTTTAGAACACTATATAAAATTATCAACCGTGTATACCTCGTTTTGCATCTTTTTTAGAAATACTTGTGTCAGGAAATTTTATTCTTGCAGTTTTTTTTTCATTATTCTTCTTTTCGCCTTATCTATATTCAGGAAATTTATATAAGGCGTGATTCGGCTAATTCAGGAAACACCTTTAGTTATATCCA